AATCCACTATATAAACAAATTGAGAGAAAAACACATGATAATCTCAATAGTCAGAAACATATTTTCAAAAAACTGAACACTTGATAAAATTCCTGAAGGCATTAGGATATTGAAGGACATACTTGAATATAATAAAGATGTTCATAGCAAAAGAATAACCAACATCAACTTATATGGAGAAAAACTCAAAAGAAATTCCAATAAAAAAACTGGAAAAATACAAGGTTGTCATCTTTTCTATTTTAAGTTTGAACTGCAAAGCTATAGTAATAAAAAAAAGCTACATAGTATTAGCATAAAAACAAACATGTTGATCAATGCAGTTGAACTGAAGACCCAGAAATATATCCATACACCTATGAACATCTGATTTTTGACAAACAAATTGAGAAATACATACTGGATAAGAGAAAACATCTTCAAGTCATATCACTGGCATAAATGGATGTCAGTATGTAGAAGAATGCAAATAGATCTGCATTTTTCATGCTGAACAAAACAACTCCAAATGGATCGAAGACCTCAAGATAAATCCAGATACACTCAACCTGATAGAAGACTTAGTGGGTAATCATCTTAAATACATTAGCACAGGAGAAGACTTTCTGTAAAGAACACTGATAGCCCAGGCACTAAGATCAATAGTAGAGAAATGGAATCTCACAAAACTGAAAATCTGAAAGGCAAAGGACACTTTCATTTGCACAAAACAAAAGCCTACAGAATGGGAAAATATTTACCAACTACAGATCACATAGAAAAGTAATATCTAAAACATATACAGAAGTCAAGAAAATAGATACCAAAAAACCAAACAATCCACCTTCAAAGAATGTGGTTAATGCTGGCAAGGATGTGGAACAAGGAAAACACTCATCCATTTCTGAAGGAGTTCAAACTTGAACAGTCCCTATGTTAATAAGTATGGAAGTTACTCAGAAGGATGAGAATTAGTCTACCTCAATAACTAGATATGCCAACTCTTGGTCATATACCCAAAACTTACTTCAGCCTTCCACAGCCATGCTCAACCATACCCAGTGTTGCTCTATTCATATCAGATAGAAATTTGAAATAACCTAGATCTCCCTCAACAGAAGAATGGATAAAAAATGTGGTATATTTACAAAATTGAGTATTATTCAGCTGTTTAACAATGACATCATGAAATCTGCTGCCAAATGGAGTTAGAAAAAAAATTATCCCAAATGGTGTAACCCAGACCCAGAAATAAAAATGTTAATTTATATGTGGATATTAGACATTAAACAAAGAAAGTTTAGTTATATAGTAAGGCATTGGAGGGTCTCATGAATCTTCCTGGGATGGGAAAATAGAATAAAATTTTTTGTTGTAGTATATTAGTTGAAGATGTGTTACATTTGTTTATGCTGTGGAATATTTGTTTAATGATGCAAAGATGTGTCACTTTCTTTTATGTAGCATTTGTTAACTCTGTGAAGCTGTGTTACATTGTCTATTTAAATCACTTGGTTTGTCTAATAAAGAGCTGAACATCCAACAGCAAAGCAGGGGAAAGGATAGGTGGGGCTTGCAGGAAAAGAATAAATAGAAGAAATCTTAGGGGAGAGTATTGTGGAGCAAGAAAAAGAGGAGAGGAAGACTATGGAGGTAAGCCACTCAGCTCCACAGCAAGCCAAAGAGTAAGAAGTAATGAAAGGCATGCAGAAATAGAGAATAAGTATTCTGTCTGAAGTATGTCTTGGGATGTACTTTGGGCTAGATACTTTTTTAAGTATCTAGAAAGTGGCTACATTAAACAGTTGAAAGTATGAGATATTTTTTCTAGCTAACATTATGTATATTGATAAAACATATACAGTACTGAGAGGATGGTAAGGGTAAGCAGAGCATTCCAAGTCATGTTTGCATTTTCTGTAAAACAAAATGGAAAGCCACAGAAGGTTTTACATAGAGCTATGGTCAACTTGTTTTAGGGAACACCCCTCTGGCTGCGGTAGTCTAATGAATGGAATTTAAGAATAATTCAACTAATATGATTCTGATGACTGCATTATAGCTATACTGTAATGAATTCCCTGGTTGATTTCAGCAATGGGTGTGGGAATATTTTAAATGCATTTTGAATGTACATTAGACAATGTGACTTCTTTTCAGATCAGAATAATTTAAGTGTTGAGAAGTACTACTTTTTATTTTCTTAATCCTGTGATTAAGAAATAGAAGGCTCTTCAGCACAAAATTCATCTGTCTTATTACCTAACATAGATGAAGTCTGGAATGGTTTACCAATAACCCCTGCTTTGTTTGAAAGAAGGCACTGTCTAGAGACACTTTAAGAGATGTGTACTAAGCTGGGCTGCGGTGGTGCATGCCTTTAATCCTAGCACTCAAAAGGCAGAGGCAGGAGGATCTTTGTGAGTTCAAGACCAGCTTGGTATACAAGAGCTAATTCTAGGACAGCCTCCAAAGTCACAGAGAAACCATGTATTGAACCCCCCCCAAAGGAAAAGAGTTGTGTAGTGAAGATCTTCCTTGGTCCACTATCAACAAATGCCCCTACCAATATAAATGGGAAAAGTGCATTTTCATCTGTAGTTATTATTTAAGTAGAAATGGTGATCATAACACAATTACAGGCTCAGTGCCCTGAGGTTACCAAACTCCTCTCTGTCTTTTATGTGAACCAACTTGTTATATCTGGATTATCTTCTACATAGTTACAATCAAAAGGGTTGGAGTTTTTATATCAATATTAAAATTAGGTTCATATTTCAGTAATTATTCAAATATATTAGCTACTTTGATCATTACTTTTATCAATAACTGACAGTAAGTGACTTTTTGAGTCAATGATTAATGTTAGCTCACAGTTTGAGTTTCAATCCATCATGTTGGGAACACTTGGCAATCGGAACATGAGATACCTGGTCACATTGCTACCAGTCAGAAAGCAAATAGAGTGGCTCTATTTCCAGTCAGCTTATACTTTTATTTAAGCTAGGACAGCAGCCTGAGATCCAGTGATGCTTAATTTTTTCATGAATCTTCTTACCTCACTAAAACCCTTCTGGGAATGCCCTAAGAGATATTATCAGAGGTTTTTTTAAAAGGTGATTCTAGACTCTGGCAAGTTAGCAACATTAACCATCAAAAGTTCACACTGAGAAACTCATAACATAAAGGCTTTCTGGGTTGGATATATGGCTCATTTAGGAGTATGCTTGACTAACATGCATAAAGTGTCAGGTTTCTTCCAAAGATCACATAAAGTGGGCATGATAATGCATGCTTTTAAGCACTCAGGAGAAGGAAGGAAGGTCAGAAGTTCACCATCATTCTCTGCTACCTAGGGGGATTGGGGCAAGTCTACTACAGATGAGCTCTGTCTCAAAAGAAAAATGAAAACAAAATTCATTCAGCTCATCTCTGAAAGTCCATAATCTTTAAGAGTTCCAAAAGGTTCAAGATTCTTATGTTCCTTCTGGAACTCAAGGCAATCGTTTAAATATGAGCTCCTATAAAATAGCAAATGAGCTGCATGTTTGTAATATACAATTACACAAAATAACATTTTCATTCCAAAAGAGATAAAAGGGGACACAGTAAGTAAAAATAGACTCAATATTTTCCCATTATTCAAAGACTAATTCTTCAGTATTGTCAGAAATGTGCATCTGTTGTGTGTGTGCTTTTTAAAAGATTTTGAACCAAATAATATATATATATATATATATATATACATATATATGTATATATATATATATATATATTATATATAATTTGTATATGTATGTGTGTGTGTGTCTTTTTGTGAGCCCATTGTAATACAAAATACAGGGGAACATTCTTCACTTTTTAAAATGTTGAATCAAATACAAGACTGGATTATTGGTAATATCAAGAACATCATTGTCATCAGAGATGATCTAGTGATTTTGATAGTTTCAAAACATAATGTAATCATATCTCAGGAAGACTATAAATCAAAATCTATTGTCAAATCCAGACTTACATTAAAGAAATGTTCACATACTAGAAGCAAGATAGTTCAGAAATCACTGTTTCATGACTGTATTCCAGTTTCTTATACCGAACTCTTCACCTTACATGGTTTTATCAGTTGGTACAATCTGGAAATCTCAGTGGGAAGACTTGTTCCATCACCCTGATCATCAACTGGTCAAGATGTATGCATATTTGTTTCCTTGACGTTTTAAAAGAAATGTGTACTTCTCTTCTCCCCTGGGCTGTTTGAGCTGTCTTTCAAATATGTTGGTTTATGTGAGGCTGTGGAAAGCATTATCCTAACAAACTCCACATGAAATTGTTGGATGAAATCTTCTTTACTATTTTAAAACAAAACTATCTCAATTAAATAGAACTTAGGCTCTACAAAATATCTGATTATCTCGGCTCTTCAATGAACTATAAGAAAATTCTAAATTGATAAATCAGAAATAATAACATAACTGTAGTAGTATAAGAGTAAGCCTCTGAACCCTAGACATGAAATCGAGTAATTTGAGACAGTGTTACCCTTTCCATGTATGCACCCACGTAATTTAGTTTTGTATATTAATTTAGATGTTTCACTTTAAAATGACCCAGAATGAGAATTTTTTTTCTTAAAAAATCAATTTAAGGCCATATTACAAGTAGGAAACAATTAGAAGTGATTCCTAGCAGCAAAATCGCAGCCACAATCATCTGTAACTCCAGATTCTGACCCTGAGAGATACCAGGTTTGATCATGGTACACATATAATGATGTAGGGGAGAATATTCATCCACATGAATATAAATAAATATGTTTTTCAGGATTACAGAAACCCTATATTCTTAAATCTTATTTGTAAATTATTGTACTTAATATTGGAGAATAATATGGAAATTATGTAATAATTACTTAGTAAAGCTAAATAACCATAAATTGTGACTTCAACAAAGATGTTTCTCTTTTTTTCATCATCTTGTTTCATTTGATCATTAACTATTCAAAATGAAGGACACAGTACCTTATCTAATCCTTCCTCTTTGAGACTGATCACATCCAGATCAAAATCTGTTCGTAAGCCATTCGTTTTGTTGAAAGTTATTCTGCCTGTGAGGCCTTCCCAATGAGCCTGAGAAACAAATAATCACAATTAACAAGGAAGAAACAAGAGACAAGATGCTATCCTGTGGTCTTTGGTAACCCAAGCTGCATTATGCTGTTGTCCTCTGGTCACTAGGAAACTTAGCTGCTTAATTTCTCATGAAATTAAAGTAATTTCTTCCTTCAATAACTTCTTAACTTCTGTAGGAAATATAAATGTTCGTCTTATATTATCAATGAAATTATTAAGAAATATGTTACTTTGAACAAAACGGAGTCCGGGAGAGTCTTTTGGACTTCTTCAGTTAACAATATTCCCTTAAAATAATTAATGTTACATTTCCCTGAAGCAGAATGAGAAAAATGTACTGTAATTATTTTATATCAGGCTATAGTGCTTGCAGAAAATGTTGTCAGTGAAAAAAAAGGTAGGAATGTAATTGTTCTAAGATAAGTAAATGGATGGGTTTCATTTTAAATGCAAAAAAATCTTATTTTTTCTGCTATTTAGTCAAAATTATACATTTTTCATTATATAGTATCTGGAAGTAGCTTGAAAAAATAATTACCTGAAAATATTGAATGATGCAGTGTAAGCATGCAACTGCAAATTTGAAATAACATACACTAAGAGCCCAAAGACATGGTAATTAAAAGATTAAGATTAAGATTTTAGTAGTGAATGAAAATGAATATCATCACTACATCATTTCTTAGTCACCAACTTTGTTTCTAATGTATTATTGTACAGACATTTCAAAATGGTTTTCAACTAATAAATTATAAGTGAAGCAGAAAACCTGGCAATTGTATGTGTCATATTACAATGTGTCTCCAAGAGAAAGAAATTATTTTCCCCAATTTCTTCAAAAGAAAAGGTATTAAGATTATAAATTTTTCTAATAAAGTAACAATAGACAAAAGTATCAGAAACTGCCAGAAAATATGTAGAGAACAGCAAAACTGAACTAGGTAGAGGACAGTAAAAATATAGCAGGCAAAACACGGCAAGTAATAAAAATTTGTAACATAGTAATTATAAACTTCCTAGAAACCAAAACAGAAAAGATGATGAAATTGTAATATGAGGCATTCATATTTGGAGGCATACCAGATGCTTGATATAAACAGATTTCCTGGTATTGAGAGAAATTTGTCCTGTTGGTCCTTTTACAGGGAATACTGTGATTTAGGAGACGAGGTTCTCAATTACACCCTACAATAAATATAGTGGGGAGTGTCATATAGCTGTTTCTTTCAATGCCAGCCAACACATTTCACAGTCATAGTGCTCAAATGCTGAGTTCAGAAAAAATCAATTCTTTAACTACTAGACCTGAGATCTATGAATAGCACTCTGAGAGTGCAGAGTACTTTAAACCAGAAGTGAATGAAGGGCATGAAACAACTAATAAAGATCATGTTCTTCTGGGAAAATCAGTATTCCTAGTTGAGTTCTGTAAAAAGTGGATAAGGAAAATGCACGGAAATTGTTTACCAATATAGTAAGACTCCTATTATTATCTCATTTGTATTATTATTTCATGATGAATAATTTATTATAAAATAAACATTGTTAATTTTAAAGCAATGATGAAAAACCGTAAATTTAATAATGCCTGTGATTGTTTTTATATCTAAGATGAAGGTACATTTAAACTTTCATCCAAGAGGAATATGCTAACAAATCACAGGACTTTCCTTCATGGAAAGAAGAGAAAAGTGCCAAATATAAGTGTGGATGTGCACATATGTGTAAATGAGGAATTTCCAATTGATTTTTTCCCTAATTCAGGCTTGATCAAAATCAAAAAGGGAATAATACATGGTCATAAATGTAACTTAATTACACACTGTGAAGTAAACTTTACACTGTGAATCCATATATTATTTTTGATTTTGTGTTTCTAAATGATAAGGATTGAACTTGAGCCTCATATGTGGTTGGCAAGCAGTCTACCATTGAACTATATTCGTAGCCCTGCTATATTCAATTTTAGCATGAGTAGTTAATATAAATAAAATAATTGTACATTTTATTTTGTATAGTTCCATAGATGAAAATACCTATGCCTCACATATTATTGTTAACTTTTATGTATACTAAATGGCAATAATGTTAAAGATATTCTTCATATTTTATTTCCTAAAATGTAATTCTTTAGACATCTACATATATACATAAATAGTCAGAGAGGTAGATTTTCAAAAATAAGGCTAATATCATCAATCGACCTTTCAACGGGTCATAGGCTTAGTATAGTTAGGTCATCATAGACATACTGAATGATATTGCACTGACTTGTTTATAAAATAACTCTTTTTATTTAATTGTCCAACCTCTATATAAGTGCTTTGCCTTGTCGTTGGATTTTTAGAGACAGGGTTTCTCTGTGGCTTTGGAGACCAGGCTAGTCTTGAACTCACAGAGATTCAACTGCCTCTGCCTTCGGAGTGCTGGGATTAAAGGCGTGCGCCACCACCACCCGGCTTCCTTGTTCTGTTGTCTCCTATTTTGTCCTGTTTGGCTGTTTGGCTGTTGACTTGTAGGAGTCTGCTGTTTTCTGAAGAGTGAACAGAGGGTGAGTGGGTCCAGGGGAGAAGGGATGTGGATCTGGGCAGGCAGGAGTGGAGGGATGGCATACTGTGGATGGGTGTACTGCGTGAGAGAAGAACATATTTCCAGGAACTATTAGAGAGAAGGAAAAGGTGTTTAAGGTTTTTGTCTGTTTTGCTTTGATTGCCTGCCAGGAGCAGGCTCATCCCCAGCCCTGCAGTTACCTACCTCTTTAATTAGGCTCATGAAGCGGGTCCCGAAGCGCCAGGGTTTGTGTCGATTACACTGCAAGGAACTGACTGTCATCTGTGGAAACTGTTGGACAGCCACGGACACGACATGCACTGCATCGTACATCAGAGCAGCATCCGTCTGAAATCCAAGAGAAAGGAAATGCATGTTCACAAAAATGTTCAACAGGGCAGGCAGCATGAAGAAAATAATGAAGCAAGGAAAATAAAAATTTCCAGTGTTTCTTTATATTAGGGATAAAAGCAATTTATTCTGCATTCTGTGGTTCTCTCAGATAAGAAAATGTGATAACATTACTACAACTCATTAAGAACAGTTGACCCACCTGGCCTTTCTTTTAGAAAGAAAATAGTATAACATTTGTAGCTGGAAATATATTAAGACACTTTTTATTTCTCCTCTTACTCTCCCTGGGTCTATCTTACTGTGTCTCACCACACATATAATTGGATGAAATTGTGACATTTAGAATCATTTTATAGCTCACATATTATCCATACAATAAATAAATAGCTCCCCTGTACAGGAGGAAGAAAAAGGATTTTAAAGAGGGTTACTTATAAAAGCTTAATGTATAAGCCCAAACCTCGTCTTCAGCTCTATTTTCAAATATCCATTCTCAGTCATGATGAATCACTCCACAGACTGAATCTCAGGGTACATGTTAATCCATTTCCAAGAACCTAAGTGTAATCTCTTGTGCTGCTTTCTTCACTCAAAAATTACATATCAATAAAAGTTTATTTGGCTTCTCAAGTAAAATGAATATGAATTCTTCTGTTCTGCACCTGCTCACGTAACCAGCCACTTTGTGAGTCAATGATAAAAAGTGATGTTTATAACTCATAACAAACAATAGGCTTGGTAGCTATCAAATAATGTGTTAAGAAGCCTCTGTCACCATGTTTTTGGGATCTATGGCAAATTTCAGACCTACAGAAGAGGGTCCCACTGGCCGAGGCATAGCAGTGAAGAGGGTCTCACTGGCAGAAGGGATAGTAGTGAACTTTGAGCTATCTGCTTGGCATGCTTTACAATAAAGGAATGTATTTCCCTTTCTCATTCACACAATTAGTGGGCTGTGAAATGAATTTCAAACTGGATAGGAACCCTGTAGATCACACTCCAGGGTTCTGCAATACAAGACAAAATGAGTCTTTATTTTTTCCATTCAAATGTATAGTAAGAGTTTTACCGGAAGAAGTGGAAGAAGTCTCAGCAGCACACAGCAATAAAAGAACATAGGAGTAGTTGTTTTGTTATTTATATGCACAATCTTCATTTTATAAATAACACATGGCTAACTTCATACATCCCAATATATATGTATGGTGGTGCCTAGAAGAGTGAATTTGATACAGGAATCCAATAATGAGACTTACAATTAAACTACTTGATTTGGATCTGAGTTAATATCTGAAGAATGTATGTGGTATATACACCACTAAAAGTAATTACCAAATTTGAAAAATGTATTTTTCCCAAAACATAATGAAAATTGATACGATACAACTGTCGGAGAAATGTAGGAAGAGATGAAAGTTTTCACGTATTACTGACAGGCCAGTTTCACAACATCGTGACAGAAAAATACCCTATAGTATCCTTTCTCTTTCTAAATTCAAATTCTATGTCCTGATGTGATGGTCAGTCTTGTCAACTTGATTGCATTGGAGTCACTAGGAGGCAGACTTCTTGGAGGAGACCATTTCCCTAGAAGCTAAACAGACCATCCAAGAACTAACCTGAATGTGGGGGGACCATCCCACATCCGGGGCTGAATGAAAAAAGAAAAGACAAGAGAGGACAAGCTGTCTTGCATTCTAACTGCAGACACAACCATTACCACTCATTACCACTCAAGCCACAAGATGTACCCTGTAAATACGAACCAAAATTCTTCGTTTCTTAAGTAGCTTTTGTCAAGATCTTTGTTGGAACAATGGGGAAAGAAAATAATAATCAGTATGGCTTAAGAGATAAAATCACAAATAAGAACAAAATTATTAACATTAATTTTAATGGTATTTTAAAAATTAGAATTCTGTGTAGTGTCTTTTCAGGATCTAATACAATAAAACTAGAAGTTAATAGCAGCAAAATCTTTGCAAAACATACAAATAAAGGGGAAATAATTAATTCTTGAATAAAGAGTGGATCGGGATAGATGTAAAGAGTATGAAAAGGTCTTGAAATAAATATAAATAAAAACATAAAATAACAAAACCTATTGAGTACTAATAGGAGCATTTATAGCAATCAATATCTATATTTTTCAAAAATGTAAATATTTGCACAAGCAACCTAGTGTGTACTTCAAGGAAATAAAAACACAGTAACCAATCAAACATCAAATTAACAGGAAGAAAGATATAATAAAACAGAACTGGAAATGAAAACAGCCACTTGGAAACACTATTTATAGAAAATACTGTGTCATTACATGGGTTCAAAAGATATTCTATGCTATGATAGGCTGGCATATCTGCCTTCATTTTGTTTCTGTTTCAATCATCTTGCATATTACATGATAATTACTTGAAGAATATCTTACTATCAAACAAACCGTTTTGCTCCTTTCGGTCTGAAAGTACAAAAACAAGAGCCATTTTCTTCAGCTCCACTCCTCCTGGGTCACAGGAACTGAAAACAAAGCATTACAGGACCAACAGCCCCCTAAATAGGACAACTGTCTGTGATAGCAAAGCCGTAAACTGGAATAGAAGTGACCAAAATTGGCATCTATTACAACTTCTTTGGACAATCTCACTGCATCAAAATTGAAGTAAAGATCAATTATACACAGATCCAGACAACACCCTTATCAGGAATGGATATATACAAATACCCCATGACCCCTTTCTCAATTTTTTCTCTATTTTAACCTAAGGCTCATGTCAGTACATAGAGTGGACTTGGAAGCACTGGACCTTCTTATTCTGTCTTCTTCCCATTGTGCTTTATCAAACTCCCGTCCTCTGCCTTTTAGTGTTACTCATCTTCTGGAAATATTGAAATAGATGGCTGAGCAGACCCTGTTGAAGCTGACATTTTGTTGGTTATTTCTGTCATTTTATAATTGAGACAAAGAAGCTCAATTAGAAACTGATACACAACACATTTAAAAAAATACAAAGATTTTAAGGAATACATCCAATACATCTTTACACAGAATGAATATAAAAGAGAAAGAGAAGACTTAAGTAAAACCAAATATTTACTGACACCATACAAATGACACGGCTGATTAGACGGTGACTTAGGCTTGGTTTCCTTGACAATACTGATTCATAAAGAACTGAAAAGATGACTGTGTTTTCATCATATGAACTTGTATAAAAAGATCCCATCAAAGAAAATTTCAGAAGTAGATGGGCTCCCACTGCTAAATTTTACCATCAATTCAAAAAGAGAAGAAAAGTCTTCCAGATTCATATTCTGAATCCTATTTATCCTGGTATCAAAACATGACAAGAACTTTACACATAGAGAGTTGAAAGCCTATATTGTTAATGGACATAGACAAAGATATCCTCAAGAAAATCCTAGTATACAGTTTTTAGTGTAAACACTACATTATAAGGATTATCACAGAGAGTCTCAAGTTCAGAGAATTACATTATCTCAAGAAGGGGGTGAATTGTAATGAAGAAGGTTATTCAAAATTGACCTTTGCAGAAGCAGACACCCACAGCCAATCACAGAGCTGAACTCCTGGAATCCAGTTGCAAAGTAGGACAAGTGATGAGCAAAGGGGTCAAGAACATGCTGGGGAAACCCACAGAAAGAGCTTACCTGAACAAGGGGGTACCCATGGACCTCAGACTGATAACTGGGAAACCACATAGGACTGACCCAGACTCCCTCATCATGAGTGTCAGTTAGGAGGCTTGGGCAATCTGGGGCCTCTGGCAGTGGATCAGTATTTATCCCTAGTATACAAATGGATTTTGGGAGCCTATTACACATAGAGGGATATTCTCCCAGCCTAGACACACAGGAGGAGGGCCTAGGCTTTGCTCCAACTGACATGATAGCTTATTAAGATCCCCCACGGAAGGCCTCACCAATCCTGGAGAGCCGAAAGTAGATGAGATAGGGGGTTGTTGGGGGGACAGGAGAGGAGGGGCGGGAGACAGAACTGGGATTGACATGTAAAACAAGCTTGTTTCCAATTTAAATAAAAATGAAAAAATTAGAAATAAATATTTCAAAAGAAAGATTGACTTTGGCTTCTGAATATACAAGCATACATCCACAGGAACATGTATACACACAGACACACACCCACCCCCACACACACACACACACCCCCACACACACACACACACACACACACACACACACACACACACACACACACGGACTTTCAACTTAATCAAGATGAATTTGCCTCAGGATTTAAAGTTTTTGCAAGGATGGTTGGGATATTGGTCAATAAACACGATTCCTTGGTACAACATAACAACAGAAGGAATGACAACAATCATGATCATCTCAACAGATGTACATACACACACACACACACACACACACACACACACACAAACACATATATGTACCAAACAGCATCAAAACACTATTAGAATTAATAAACTATTTGAGCAAGGCAGCAGGTTATAAAATCAGTATGAAGATAAATGGCATTGCCTTATAGCAATACAGAGTAGAAATCAGCAAAGCAATCCTACTGAAAACAGTCACAAAAATAAAATAAAATAATATACAATGATACCTAAGAAAACAAGGTAAAGTTTTCTACAATATGGCTATAAAACATGCTAAAGTGAGTTGAAAAATACATGAGTAAAGGTGACACCCCTATGTTTAGGAATTAGAAGGTTTAATATAGTGAATATTTCTGTAAGACCTAAAGTGATTAACAAACTCAAGATCATCTCAGTTAAAATAGCAATGACTTTCTTCACAGAACTGGGATACTGAAAACTAAAGTGTTAATGGAAACATAAAAATCCTGAATGGACAAATAATCTTGGCCCAACTACCTGGACAAAAAACACACTATAAATATAGCATGACACTTATATGAAAATGGCCACATTAACCAATGGAAAAGAAATAGAGGAAGAAAACCAGGCATTTTCAGTCACCTGCTTTTT